CCCCCCCCAAAAAAAAGGCCCCTCCAGATTTGCCAATGACGGTCTATGTTGAATATGGCAATTATGAGTAATAACATCTGACGAAGTCAGGCAGCTAGTATTTAGCATACATTACTGACGGCTTTCATTCAAACGAAGGGTGGACGGACATCTCCAAGTAACTTTAAAAAGGCAAAAAAGTCAAATGCGCACCTTCCAGTAGTTTGGCGTAACTCTTGCTGCCGTCAGCGTCCTTCGATTACCGAAAAGATACACACCACAACGTGCACGAGAGAGCGCCACACATAGACGGTTCTTCTCCGACAAAAATCCAATCTTTTTGTTTTCGCCTCGGACCAAAGAAATAAGAATTATGTCATTTTCTTGACCCTGTAAAACAACAAAGATAAAGTATTTTGAGTAAGTATATTTTCTGAATAGGTAAGTGCTCTGTTTCCAAGCGTCTAAAGAGGTGAAGAAAGGGAGAACACAGGCAGGTCATGTTCAGTTCCTCGGTTTGGAGTTCAAACTCCTGTCAAACTTAAATACTGTAGATACACTTCAAACAGGCTTACTGACCAGTTGAACGGAAACGTTTTGGAGACCGTCACAGCTTGACAGTTTGGGTGCAGCAGGTACATGAGCAAAAAAGAGTCGAACCTCCCGTAAGCGGCCACCTAAAACGTCATGCCTAGCAGGTCGCTTACGGGAGGTGGTCGCTTACGAGAGCTTAGACTTTACTGGGTCACAATTTTGCCTCATTAGCATAAGTTAACTGCGTGAGTGAGACTTAATCCATGTTTTAAATGTTTTATTCACGTGAAAAGTCGATTTTGAGAAAAAATCGGGTACTTCCCATAGAGAAATTGCCGTCTCTTGTACCATCCAGTGATGCGATAATGTTAGAACACCTTATTATCCAATTTTCCCTCTATTATCTGTCAAGTGGTCGCTTATTGAGAGACTAAAAGCAAAAGAAAATTTCAAATTTTTAGCTCTAAGTGGTCGCGGTCGCTAACGAGAAGTTCCAAATATAGTGATTTGGCTTGGAAACTTTTGGTATTTTGGAAAACTGGTTACTGAGGAGAGGTGGTCGCAACCGGAGGTTCGACTGTAGTTGTTTTTATCAGCCATTTGGAAATCAAAGATCTCCCAGACCAGTTCGCTTTCTTTCCAGACACCAAAGGGACAGATCACAAGTCCCTGCTATGGGGTTGTCCGTATCATGAAAGCAGTGATTGTAAGAATTCTGGGTCTGTTCTTGGAACCAAGTGAGCTGTCTGTAAAGGTGCCCGTAAGAATAATAATGGTACTGACAATACAATGATGATGACGACGACGAAGATGATGATGACGGTGGTGGTGTTGGTAATGGTGATGGTGATGGTAATGGTGGTGATGATGGTGATGGTGGTCGCGATGGTGAAGATGATGGTGATGGTGGTGGTGGTGCATGTGGTGGTGATGGTGGTGGTGATGGTAGTGGTGACGGGGGTGGTGATGACGGTGATGATGGTGGTGGTGATGGCGATGGTGGTGATGTTGATGATGTTGATAGTGGTGGTGGTGATGGCGATTGTGATGGTGATGATGATGAAGGTGTTTGGTGGTGATAATGATAATGATTACAATAACGTCTTTTCTAGTGTGTTTCACTGGTGCTTGAATAAATCGAGATATTTAACATATCATAATCAACGCCCTCGCTATACGATTAAAACTAAAAATAGTTAATTAACAACATGTTTGCCTACCTGAAAACTGTCAATCGTAGTCACTTGAATCTTACTTAGCGCCTCCACATTCGACGATTTAAAACGTTCGATTATTTCTGTGACCTGAAAATAAATAATCAACTTTCCTAATTACAAAATCCCTGGTCTGCAGTGTAGCCTTTTGTCCCTTTGTAGAGAGTTCAAGACGCTTCTCTGATTCTAACGATGGTCTTTGGACTCATCGAAGAGAGCTGTAAGTGGGTCTTGTACCATTATTTATTCTATGGATAGCTCCGGCGTGAGTGGGCAAGACTGATGAACTAAATCCAGCGCTGTGATTGGCTACCCGAGCAGGCTCGATGTCGCTATCTTGCCTGCTTGGGACTACCCGCTGTTTCCCGAAAGAAAAAAATTTTCCCGAAAGCCATATTGTAAATCCTCACTTGCCAACCTTGTTCGGTCAAGATGGCTGGATATTGGCCTCGTCCTCTTTTTCGAGTTTATGGACCTCAACTCCGCTGGTCTCGCTCCATAACCACGCAAAAAAAAGACCTTGGCCAACATCCTGCCATCTTGACCTCATGCATGGTCAATAACCCATATATATATATATATCGGAACTGCAACAGTATGGTTCCTTTCCCAAGACAAGTATAAAATAGAAGCATAATCCTTTTATCTCCCCAAAGCATAACACTATACACTTGCCTGTCCGCGATATGCGCAAAGCACTGTGATTTTAGATGGATCAACTCTGCCCTTTTGGCAGAACGTTTTTGCAACTTCTGTGATTTCCCTGGCTTCATGAGGATTTCGCTTGCTGTGATCGTCTGATGTACTCTCAGAACTTGTGTGTTCACAGAAATACATGCTTTTCACGACACAATCTGGCAGCTCATTGTCGCCAACTTGCTGCAAAAATATGACGATGGGATTTGATATATCAAACGCGAAAGACCGTGTTTGACCACATTTCCAAACACCGAGAAGAGAGTTGAAAATACGACGCGCAGAGGAGTATTTTTGACGAAATTCGAGGTGTTTGGATAGTCCATGAAACACTGTCTCGAATGTTTGATATATCTTCTCAATCGAAACAAAAACTAAGGGGTAATAGTACGTAAACGGAGAAGTAAAATCATACCAAGTCTATGCTAATTAAGACCGGGCATCTAACCTCCTTCACGGTTGTGATTTTCTTTGTTTTAACTTGATCAATTATTAATGAGTTTGAGAAGGAGATACCAAACACGACCCTCAATCCAACGAGACCTGGTGTTCATTGTAAAGGCACTCAGAGACAGGCTCATATTATTGATGAAAGTACTGTCTAAACAAAGTGGTTACACTGAAATAACAATGCGGGAATTAATGGAAGTTGTCACACATAATACTAAGACGTGTGACTGAGGGGCTATCTCCACGATTCACAAGAACAGTGTATTACACATTAACTGCAAATACCTCCAAGAAAATCTTTGCATTGAAAACACTGGAACGTTTAACTTTATCGTAAGCCTCCTTCACTTGATCTTGTATTTTCTCTAGTTGCACTTTCAGCTTTGTTTTTTGCGTGTTTAGAGGTTCTGGCCACACCCTGCCCACCTTTAAGAATATGAACACACTTCATCATTCAGTATCTGAGGACATAATTTTTTATGCAAATCAAATGTAATTTTTGGTCAATGAATGATAAATCAAATTGTACATTGAATAACGCTACCAAGAGAGGACCTACCTCCCCCCTGGTGGGTTGGTCTCCCAGCGCCCGATAACAATATTATAAAATTCATTAATTATTATTTATGATAAAAGACTTTCCTTATTTCGTTACTTCAAATAGAAAATTGAAATATGACAATGTAAGTAGAGTGCACAACAGAAGACTTGTTTGATTGCGGCAGCTTCTTACAATTTTTTATTAGACCTGCTCATACCATTTGCGCCTCCCCCCTCCCCCAATCCACCTTATTGCCACCACCTTTCGAGATTTCGGTCTCAACCTCTCGCTACACTATAACAAACCTAGTAGGGTTTGTAAGTGGCATTTTCTACTCTTACCTTTGACAATAAGCGGTCTCTCAATTTATTTGAACTTGACTGTCCTCCAACACGAACAATACTAGGTGATGAATCTAAGCACATCTCCAGGAAATGGTCTAAAGCATTGTTCTTATAGGTGACAACCTATCAATATACAAGCTGTATATAGTTGCTGTAACAAATTATACACCATTAACAGAAATGGTATTTAATTCATCTTGGTTAAGTTTAGTTTATGGCTGAAGAGATCTTTTCACATGCTTCCGCTCGAAAATGAATTCTGCACAATCATGTACACAGTACATTACATGACTTGTACAGCTGTATGCATGCTACATGTCATTAATAACAGTCATATCACTACTTATGACCACCCACATAAGTAATAAACTCTAGCTATGAATATCTTTGTGAAATTTTCACTCAAAACTCATGATCAGCAAATAAAATCTCACAATGTAAACAACTGCTCCTGCCAGCAGCTGCGACCACCTTAAGGAATTACCAGCACTTAAAGAAAAAGAACATTGCCAATATGCATTGTTGAGAAAGATCTTCAATTTAAAGTGCAAGGTCAAGTGGTTGTATTTACATGTACCCGTGACTCAAGATAGTTTACTAGGCAAAGTTTGAGGGAATACTATCGTCCGACCCAAAATGCAGTGAACAACTACCACTTAAATGCCATTTGTGTTTGATCTTAAAAGTACAGTTCTTTTGAGAGCAGTTGTAATGCATACAGACAGATAAATATTTTGATGGCATACTACTCTTTGGCCAGCAAATTGTTTCCCTTGCTGCAAGAGAGAGAGATTTCTTCCCAACAAAAGATTCGTAAGTAAGATTATTCTCTGCTTTTGAAAGTGGTCAATGCTTACCAAGATAGGTCCAAACGTTTTTGGAACACACATTGATAATAAAAGACGGACAAGTATCACACCTACGAAGGATTTTCCAGTTCCTGGTGGACCCTACATGCAAGNTATTTATGATAAAAGACTTTCCTTATTTCGTTACTTCAAATAGAAAATTGAAATATGACAATGTAAGTAGCGTGCACAACAGAAGACTTGTTTGATTACGGCAGCTTCTTACAATCTTTTATTAGATCTGCTCATACCATTTGCGCCTCCTCCCTCCCCCAATCCACCTTATTGCCCCCACCTTTCGAGATTTCGGTCTCAACTTCTCGCTACACTACAACAAACCTAGTAGGGTTCGTAAGCGGCATTTTCTACTCTTACCTTTGACAATAAGCGGTCTTTCAATTTATTTGAACTTGACTGTCCTCCAACACGAACAATACTAGGTGATGAATCTAAGCACATCTCCAGGAAATGGTCTAACGCATTGTTCTTATAGGTGACAACCTATCAATATACAAGCTGTATATAGTTGCTGTAACAAATTATACACCATTAACAGAAATGGTATTTAATTCATCTTGGTTAAGTTTAGTTTATGGCTGAAGAGATCTTTTCACATGCTTCCGCTCGAAAATGAATTCTGCACAATCATGTACACAGTACATTACATGACTTGTACAGCTGTATGCATGCTACATGTCATTAATAACAGTCATATCACTACTTATGACCACCCACATAAGTAATAAACTCTAGCTATGAATATCTTTGTGAAATTTTCACTCAAAACTCATGATCAGCAAATAAAATCTCACAATGTAAACAACTGCTCCTGCCAGCAGCTGCGACCACCTTAAGGAATTACCAGCACTTAAAGAAAAAGAACATTGCCAATATGCATTGTTGAGAAAGATCTTCAATTTAAAGTGCAAGGTCAAGTGGTTGTATTTACATGTACCCGTGACTCAAGATAGTTTACTAGGCAAAGTTTGAGGGAATACTATCGTCCGACCCAAAATGCAGTGAACAACTACCACTTAAATGCCATTTGTGTTTGATCTTAAAAGTACAGTTCTTTTGAGAGCAGTTGTAATGCATACAGACAGATAAATATTTTGATGGCATACTACTCTTTGGCCAGCAAATTGTTTCCCTTGCTGCAAGAGAGAGAGATTTCTTCCCAACAAAAGATTCGTAAGTAAGATTATTCTCTGCTTTTGAAAGTGGTCAATGCTTACCAAGATAGGTCCAAACGTTTTTGGAACACACATTGATAATAAAAGACGGACAAGTATCACACCTACGAAGGATTTTCCAGTTCCTGGTGGACCCTACATGCAAGATAGAGAAAATATAAATGAATTTAGAAGTTAGGTCTACTGACGTCATTTAAAATTAATTTTAGAAAACTTTTATGAAGTAAATATTATCAGAACAGTCATTTAGCTCAAGAGATTTTTAAGTAACAAAGATTCATATACTCTTTACACTGNAGTAGGTGACTCATAGAATTCCAATCAAACTTCAACTTACAGGTAAGTCTCGTTTAATTTTTCAATTTTTCCATAAAGTGTTTCTTGAACATCAAAGACAATAAAAACCTCATACAGCATATCAAGCATTGGCGTGAATTATATATTTGTCCTGTTAACATTGAGAGGAAATAGTTCTTAACTCGATCATGTAAATTTTTAAAACTCAAGAGTTACTAGGCCCTTTCCGTATTCTTGGTACTGGACTTGAACTAGCTTGCAACTGCATGAGGCTAATGCTGGGAGTCTTTTCAAATGTAAATGAGGTTTATCTCTTTTTTTATGATATTCCCCCTGCATGAGCCTCCCTTGCATGATAGGTCCAGCTCACTACAGAGAATACCAAAATAGCCGGTTCCCATGGTAGCTTGAATGTCATGTAATAATATAAATGCTGATGCATGTTTTATGTTAAGTTAAAATTTACTTTAGTTACCAGTTTGTAAATAGAGAGGTTAAATCACTGAGTGTTCAATAAATCAATCAATCTCCATTAAATTTTGTTTGCAAAACTAATACCTGCTACAACTTCCTTTTGCTGTGTTCTCAACAAAGATAGGAAAAATTGATTTGAAGAATGCACTCTCTGTAAATTGTTGTACAATCTTTTCAACAACTGGTGGAATTTTCCCCTGAGAGCTGGAACATATCTCTTCAATAATGTACAAGACATTCTAGCTCATGATCTGGTTGTCACTTGTATCCTTTGAAAGCTGAAGAATGTAATCCCAAGCAGCGTGACACCTATAACAGAAGCATGGAAAATGTTTAAACAAGTAATATTAAGTTTCATGATCTGTACTTTCACTCTTTTATGACATATTAATAAATGAAATCTGTTATTAATAATAATTGTTATATAGCTCGCGTTTTTCCCGTTATGTACAGCACGCCCATTCATAGGCTAGTTCATGGTCACATGACATCTAACAATGAAACTCTTTCCTGCCAAATGCCATGAGTGGGCAACATTGCAAAAACTATGATGTCAAATGGGAAACAGTTCACTGTTACCCACAAAATGTTGACCGCCGTTGCACATCATTTATCAGTAAAGTGATTATTTGTTTTCCACCGGTTTGACCCATTTGTTTTGCTATAATAACAAATCACATAATGACTGGTCCCTTGGGCAACGGTGAATTTTGTTACCCTCAAATCTCAATGTTTTCCCCCACTTCGTCTCGGGAAACATTGAGATTCTCGGGAAACAAAATTCACTGTTTCCCTTGGGACCAGTCATTAAGTGTCAATTGTTCACTGCACAATAATCTTCCTGATGTTATAACTGAGTTACAATTCAGTTTTACTTTTTTACCTCATTATCCCAGTTACTGCAGCAGTTGAGCCATCATCTTGTAATAGCTTTAGCATGTAATCCAAAAATACTTCAATTTCACTCTCGCATAAATGGTAACAGCTGAAAAAGAGCAATTAAAGAAAAAGCTGAGTACATGAATAGCTGAGGATGGAGCTACAAACCAACAAAGAAGTGACAATAAACCCCAAGCGGGGAGGGGGGGGGTTAACTTAATATATATTAATGTTAATGTGTTAAATAAGGTATGGTAGTGTAGTCAATCCTTCTTAAAAATACTGTACACAGTTAAATCACACCCATTTCCATACATCATAGATATCAAATAAAAGTTCAATGTATTTCACTTACCATATTACATCTGTTTCCAGGGTTGTTTCCGTTTCTCTCTGAAGTCTTGTAACCTCAACAATGTCACCCACTTTAACAGGGAATCCCGAGCTGAAACTGTTCTTCTCATTGGCTTGAACGTCAATAATAAGTTCTTGCTCCTTTTCCACCAAAACCCAAGCGTTCTGCTCTGTTCTTCGAACAACAACACCTTGTAACTTGACATCATCTTCACCAAACAGATCAGAAATAGCTGGCCTGCTTTTACAACTTGCATGTAGATCAGAAAAATTGTTAATGTTAGTTTCTGAAGGTTTTGCGAAACGTTCAAGTTCATCAAAAAACTGTGTTATGGTTTTTCGCGATAATTTAAACTCTTCTGATATTTTTTTGCCAACAAATTCCCTGATTACTTTTTCACGGTATTGGTACGTTTCATGGACCTGTTGAAGCTTGTAGTCAGTTTTGCCTTTCCATTTTGCTGGTACTGTTACCTCAGTTAAGAATTTCTCACATCCTTGCAAAAATTCATTACGTATCAGACCATCTTTGCAGTACTTTTTCAGTATTTCTTTTACGTTCCTACATTCAGCGGCCATCGCTCTTGAAACTCTTCGACACTTCCGGGATGGCTTCCGGGATTGTTTGTATCAATTTTGTCTTGAGGGAGGGGTAGGTTGAAATCCTCCACTCGTCCTCGAAAATTCGCGAATGCATTTTCTTCCATTATAGTGCATTCCAAAGTTATTCTTCCCCCAGAGAGGAAAAGAAGCTCCATCATTTTTATAAAAAAAAGAGTGAAAAGGTACCTTGTACCTAACAATCGTCTCTACCCCTGTTAGATAAGCGTTACGTTTACTATGTTTGCGTACCCGCAACGTCAAAGTGAAGGTCAATTTTGACGAATCGGCATCCTGCAGTTGCTCGCTCGTTGGCTTCAAAGCGGAAACAGCGTCCTTTACATTGTGTAATTTGTCCAAATGAACTGAACCAGGGCATCAGCATACGTCAATCAAATCAACAGGGAACCCAAATCAACAGCGAGGATCGAGGATGAATTCATGTAGAAGTCACAAAAATGGCGTCGAGGCAGCGGAGTCTGGTTTGCCTCGTTCTTAAGCTGAGGTGGCTGTGCTGAGGTAGCGCAGGTAGGCTTTGAAATGTATTTGGTTTGTTTACTAGTGTTTACAGCCTTGTTATTGATCAGCTTCACATTGTGCAGTGCACAGAAAACTCCGTTTACAACTGATCGTTGAAATCTTTCAGATGCTGCTGACTTAAGTTGTATTTCTGTATTTCAAGTTATTTTCCGCGGTGTTGAAATAGAAAAAGGAAAACGTCTGGA